CAACGATGAGACAATCAATTACAAAACCTGTTCATTTGCAACAGTGGTTCTGTTTACCAGAAAATGAGGTAGAGCAGTAGCACAATTATGCATAAATTTTTATTACCTTCCCTATTAATGGAATTCCAGATCTGAAAACAAAGTTTGATTCTTATATTATTTATTATTTGTTAACATTTACAACATATTAATTAAAAATCAAGGTAGACTTGGATTATCTTTGCAATACAGATAAGGCTTTTATCTCTTGTTATCTGTAGATAACAAAGAGCTTTACCACAAAAATAACTAAGTGTCAAAGGCATCAATTAAAGACACCAAAGATGGCCTTTCTTACGACCAAGTTTCTTTCTAAAACTTACACAGCTACTGCCAAAGTTCAGTTTAACCTCTCCGTAATTATAACCACAGAAAGATTTCCTGAAGCAAGCATAAAATACAGCTACAAAAGTAAGAGCTTTCTGGTTCCTCCATTAGCAACATCCACTACAATTCCATGGAATTACTAAGCATGTTTTAGAGAGTTTGGCCCAAACCAGTAGAAAATCCAAGCTGAGACATTTCTAGAATGCTGCTGCTATTCTCTGCTATAGCACAGTACTTGCAGGACTTCAGTGTGAAGCGCCAGTTGTGTTCCCTAAATCTATCAGTGACTACCAAGGTAGTCACTCAGGAACAATGCTGGATGTTGTCTTTTTAGCCAGATTTTCTTCAATAAAGAATCAGAATGGTTTGGGGTAGAAGGGAGCTGAAAGATGATCTAGTTCTCCCCTTCCCTTGCCATGCAGAAGAATGTCTTTCACTAGACCAAGCTGCTCAAAGCCCAAAAGAAAACAAAGACTTACAGTCTTAAGACCTTACCCTCAAATCGGCTCCTGGAATTCTTCTGAAGACATTTTAACTTCTACTGCTGCTAAAAGAAGGCCTGGTGGGTTTGGGTTTATTGAGGTGCTTACCTTCATCAGGCTATAAAATGAACCCAACTTAAAGGTGTTAAAAAAGTCTTTTCTGGGGGCAGCAACTTTCACTTCAAGAAAAGGTCAGGATAAAATGAAACATTCTCTTTTTATGTGATATAAAAGATGTCAGAATTTCCTAATCAATTAATAAAACATGCTAATTGCTTAATATTATATCAAATGTCTCCGGTGAATGCAGAAATTGAAGGTTAATTTTGTTTAAACAGAAATTCCTCCTGAGATAGCAGCAAGAGAGACCATGGCTACTGGGTGTGAATTAGGCCTCCCTGCTCAAGGAATGCCAGTGAAATATATGCATCCATTTCCATACCTGAAGGGCTGTCAGCTGCTAGACAGGAAGGGCTCAGCTGCAAACCTGTAGATTTAGGTGGAAATCCAGTGCATAGAGGATTGGGCTGTTTTGGGACACATTAGATCGACTTGAATCCTGTTGTTGGCTCCTGTCCAAATGCTGTCCAGAGATTACCATTACTCTTATATGTGATATTCCCATAAGGTTTCATTTTTCATAGTTGCAGACTAACAGAACTTTTTACAGCACAACTAGAACATTAGATTGCCTCAATATACTTATCAATATTCAATTCCTCTCAAAACCTTGGTAAGGTCTTAAGTGTCCCAAACCAACTTTCAGTAGCAGTGCAGTGTAGGAGAAAAATTTTTCATATAAATATTTGAGGTTAAAGAAAGGAGAAAATCCAGCAAATAATTATATGGACGTCGTCACACTTCACAAATACCACTTAAATTTCTAGAAGAACAAGGGAAAGAAGAATATACCAAAAAGTACAAAGAGTTAAGTTACAAGAGAAAGATTAGAATATCCATGGGGAAACATACCAAGTGCTAAGATCAGGTACCTACTGTATGGCAAATCCAGTGATTAAAGGAAGAGCACAGAAAAGGCACTTGTGTACTTGGAGCTAAAATTTCCCACCAAGACTGAGGAACCTAAAATGCCTAAGGTAAAAACTGAGCAAATGCATACTTTTGTATTTTAAAACAAATCTAAAAGCCACCATGATTTCATAAAGGCAGTCATCCTTACCCAAATTTACCCAACATTTTAAATTTACTAAGTGCAAATGCTCTTAATGGATAATGTCTTAACCATAAAGTAACCATGGTGTTGACCAAGTGAGGTTGCTTGTGGTGTTTATGTTTACATTCTTTTAAAACAACAACATTACAAGCTTTATGATAAAATGTGGCATAGTTATCATCTCCCTGATAATTGCTGATTATCCACTTGTTCTCTTCATGTGCAGTCTGCAGCTATGAGCAAAAAGGAGTTTGCCCTTAATGACTGTGCTTGTGCAGGAGAAGAGAACACTTGCTTTCATAGAGCTTTAGAAGTTAAATCAATTCACCTTCTGCAGAAACAGCACTGTAACATTCTTGCTTTTCCTGGGAAGGTTTATACTTCTGCCTTGAAGTAGGAGAAAAGATCACTTCTATCTAATTGATGGAAGGATACTCACTATTACCTGAAGCAAAAAAGTATAGTGTAAATATCCAGATTTCTCTCTTCTGTGTCTGCATATGCACACACTTGAAAACTCCAATGTAATGCAAAACTCATTTTAGCAGTTCAAATTGGGAACTTCACACCACAGAGGACAAATCCAGTTAGAATTTTAGGGAGACAGTATTAATTCTTCTTTAAAGACAGCAAGTACTCAGCCTGGATTAAAAAGAATTTTGTTTTATTTGAACAACGGCAAACAATCTTTATTATAAAACATGTGTGTTTCACCTGCAGTAGAAGAATCTCAAAATCATTTTTATAATCTGATAACAAGTATCACCACAACTAGTCAATGTTCAAAACTAAAATCAGTTACTCATAGGTTAACGATGCTTAAATTTTTTAAACACATAAAATGGGTATTTTCTAAAAATCACTCTGCATTATGATTATGAGACTGTTTTCAGAGGAAAACTCAACTACCACAAGTTTTCCAGAGCAGAAAAATCACAACTAGCCCTGAACAAGAACAGTTACATTAGAAATCCAGAAATTCTTCCAAATACTTCTGTCAGTTTTATGTACAAGTTAAAAAAAAAATCTAATTCTGGCATTACCACCGCCAAGAAGAGGTAATATGAAGACAAGTATTTATGTTTATGCTCTTCATTGCTGTTTTTCTTTGGTTTAAAATGTACACAAAACACATTTTATGAAACATCTTCTTTGCTATTTCATATTGCTAACTGTGTGTACTGCAGTATGCTTAATGTTAGGCACTTAATAATGCTCCAATATGTTTGACACCCCATGCAGCACGTGGGTACCTGCATTCCCTACCTGGTACACAGAGAAGGAAATCAGATGTTCTTCCAGAGGAAGTTTTGTATTTATTCAAAAAGCATGCATCTCAACTGACTTTATTATGTCTTTAAATGTTCAATTTCGTGGAACTTATAAATTAAGGGACCTCTTACTTTTTCAATAATATTCCAAGCAATACTCATTGGTGTACATTGTAATTCAAAGGGCTTACACAAACCCCCTATACCATTTAACCCCCTGAGAAAAGGTTTTAAACGGTGTTCCATGGAATCTCATCCACTGTGAAGGAAAACACTGAGGCATCCTGGACTGAAAGTGTCCTGAAAAACATTTTAAAGCTTTGAAACGTTTTTCCTCATCAGAATGCACGAATGCAAAATAATCTATCCTATACCCAAAACAATCCAAAATGTTAACAATAATAGCTGGAATTTTAAATTTAAGAAATACTGTCAATGAATGCACATTATGAAAACAATTTGCAAATCTGAAAAGGCAATTGTCATCTATATTTCACATATATATATATTAATATAACAATACTGTTATATTGTTATATTAAAGTTGCTTTTAAGTTTATGGTAAAAAGAACTATATGTATGTAACTTTCTGACACCAAAATTGTCCATAAAAAGCCTGGACTCTTGGAAATGTTTTAATTTTTAGTGTCTTTCCTCAAAGGGTTTGTACATTTAATCTGACCAGGAATGAAAAATGTGCTGTATTAAGATGACAAAGTACAAATAATTTTTAGTCTAAATGTTAACTGAGATCTGTGATTAAAGTCTAAGGAAAATTTTGTCAGCTATCATGTTATAAAAGAATCCACACACAGTCATAACTGGATTGTAACATCTAACCAGGCACTTTTTAAACAACTTGTTAGTTTAAAATCAAGGATAAAAATGGGGTTTGTATACCATTTGATGTTTCAAAAAGGCACAAATCACTGGTATGCCCCTCTACTTTGTCACGTACCAAAAAAAAATTTCACTCCGTTTAAAAAAAAAATCCAAAAACTTGTATGATTATGATCACTACAAATTTTAGGATGACAACAAGAAGTGTCTTTGCTAAAATGAAAGCTCCAGGCTTTGATTGAATTCTCAACACAGCAAACTAACTGTCTGATTGCAAACTTGCAATTCATTGCTAAAGCAAAAGCCATAAAATAAACTGCAGTGCACAACTTCAATGTGATTCTAAGAACTTATTAATGCTGATATGACAGGTGATTTATTTGGCTTTGTGGTGTTTTGCATTTGTTTGTTTTGTAGTTTTTTAGTAAAACCTTCCCCTTCTGACAGAATACTGTTAAACACAGGAAAAAAAATTTGCTACTCTCTACTGTTGTCAATCTTTCAGACACAATTAAAAAACCACAACATACAAGAGTTCTAGAGCAAGTCATCAATCTGCAAAATGTTATACATCAGTAATAAGGCATCCACTTTACAGCTATTTGAACAAAAAAGGAAGCATTTCCCAAAATAAGTATTTTGAATCTGTGTAAACAAAGCTCATATGTATTGCTTCCATTAATTTCAAAAATATACACCCACATGGACTGAAAATGATCTTGATGCTATGAAGTTTAGATTACTGTAATTTCTGCAGCTGTAATCTGAAGATACAAAATCCAAATATTTTTGAACTTAAAATTTTGAAACATGTTGAAAATTTTAATCATGCTTATGTGAAAAGAAAGCTAAAAATACACCCCAAATTTTATGCCATTTCATTGAACAAAGGAGAAAGCACTATGAAAATAAACATTCATCTGGTTTCCTAACAATAAATACAAAGACAGTTATTATAAGATACTGCAACACAGAAAATATTACTATATTGACCTTAGTGTTCAATCAGTAGTTTTTTAAATCTTTCCTCACTGACATCTGAATCTTCTACCTTGTCAGCTGTCCAACAACTTTTAAGAGGGTTTTGTTTTCTTGCTTCAATTGTTCATTTTCATCTTCTATGTCATCTAGATCCTGTACAAGAAAAAAGAAAAATAAACACTTCTCAGGATGGAAATACAAACTCTCAATTAGTAGCAGCAGAAATTTAATATCTTAGCTCTGAAATGAGGAAGCTGGGACAAGGAAGAATTAGTGTCACAGTAGGTACCCTTAGAAATGTTAAACCAGCCTGTTTCAAAGTGTTACTATAATTACAAAACATTAAGATTATATTCCTAAGCACCTTAAATAGAAACATGTTCAAATCAAAGCTACAGCAGGAATTAATGCATAAAGAAACTAAAATAGAATGGGGGTGATTATTTTTCTGGCATATACAGAGAGTGTGTTAATCAGCTCCTGTTCCTGCTTTCCCCAGTTGCCTGTCTGCAACTATGGCTCCCATATATACACATCACTGACTATTACTGCAAGAAATCCTGTTTTGTGTATTAAGTATCAAAATTTTCAGAAAAAGACATGCCAGTTGACTTTTTTCCTGTGGAACAAAAAATAAAAACAGACTTTGTAGCTTTTGTCTGAAGCGCTACTGGAAGAACAGACAGCGTGCACAGAGTAGTAATGGGTGCTCAAAATAGATTGCTTTCACAGTGTTTGAAAATGTGTTTGACACACACAAATGCTTGTGTCTTTTCCACTAATTACCATTTCTGTACAGTTCCCATTTCACTTCTTCACTCCTAACAAGTTTTTTCAAGCCTTTAAAGTGAAAATCAGTAATAATAATGGCTTAATACAAACATTACTTCAATAAATGCAATTTTTGTGTACAAAAATCTCATGCAAAAACCAAAATGTGAACTAGAAAAGAATGAAGAAACAGAAGAGTGATGTCAAGGACAGGATTTTAAGGAGAAAAATGAAAGGTGGGCAAAGGAAAATGAACCAGAATTCTCACTGGAGATCCTATGTGTTTTTTTGATTCAAGTCTGCCAAGCTGTACTCTTGCCTCAAGAAGTAAAGAGAAGATTTTCTCTCTCTTGGTCCTTTAAGTTGTTATGCAGTGTTTGACATACAAAGCTCCAGTTCTTATTTCTTTCTCAGTGAGGTCATTCCAGAAGGGCACAATAGAGATCATCTGTTCAATTGGTATAATGATTTTTAAAAGCCTCTTCAGTTTGGTAAGCTAAAATCCACACCTCAATACTTTGCAATCCCTTTACTGTTTTCTAGAGTAGAATCAAGAAATCACAAGCAGAAATTTCTCTTTGCCTCACAGAAGTAAAGCTGCATCACAGTATGAACCAATTCCAGGAAAAGCATTTGACCACTTCAACATAACAGATACAAGTGACTTAAATACCTAAACAGGGTAAGTTTTGGTGGGTAGATGCTATAAATACAATTTAGTATAAACAAATACACTTTATAATCTCTTTTGTGCAATTTAGATTAATAATCAGATAGATGGAAGGGATAACACATTTTCAATAGAACTACTTCTTTTTCATTTGGTAAACATAAAACTTGCATTATAATGTTTAAACTTGGTGATTGAGCCATCAGATATCTCAATAAAGCTTACCTAAAATCCTCCTGTTTAAAATTCTAGTATAATACACTCAAAATAAAATATTAAAAGTTTCTGAAATGTTTATGCTACAAAAATAACATTCCAGAAATTACTACATGTAAAAGTTTCTTGAATATAAGCCAAGAAAAATAACTGCTTTAAGGATCTACAGAAACAATGGGTTGAGAGATGGAGGGGATTTTGCCACTCTGAAATTTAAAGTTTCTTATTCAAAATTACAATACTAATTTAAGCTTATTAACAAAAAAAGATGCAATAGCAGGAAAGCTTGAACTTCACATACCAAAAGAACTGATAACTACACAATTGGCATTAATTGGACTGTAAATCCTCACTGACAGACTCTCTCCAAACACTCTTTTAACTACACTGACATCTTAGTAAGGTCAGAGATGACTAAGTGTAAACTAATTGACAGCTAAACTTTGCCTACAAAGTATTCAAATGATTTTAGATGCCTTTCAGACATTTAAGGTTTTTATGAAGCAATTGCCCCTTTCTTACAAAGAACATGGCAGACATACCTTTAATGTCTAATATACTGGAATGAGAGAATGCTGTTTATAGGAGAAAGCTTTTTCTGTTCCTCAATATAAATGCAGCTCATATCCTTTAAGTATCTCTGTGATGTACTGACTGAGATCAGCAAAATGATAATGTCACATTAAATAAATATACTCACTTAAAATGAGAAAAAAATCTACCAAGAAGTTCTCATGATTCTTGGAAAAAGTTTTTCAAGTGCAACACAAGGTCTTTGCCAATCAGGCATACATCTGTGGTTATGAACTGACTAAAACTTCTAGAAAGAGCATTTTGCTAAATATGGACTGAGCAGTCAGAAAGATACACAATAAAATGGCCTTTTAAGAAGTTATCTAGGGTATCTGATGTGGTATTCTTCCCATACCTGCACATGTTAACATCCAACAACTGTATATATTGATGAACAGAAAAGCTGGAGGAGAACCATGAATGTGTAGATGGTCAAATTTAGAGACCCCTATTTAGGCTGCTACCAGCAAAATCTTTGAAGACAACCTCTACATAGACACATTAAATAAAGTTCAGTCCTCAGGACATCCTTTTATCTAAACAGAAGGCTGAAGATTGCAGCTGTTCTTCCATGAAAAGCACCCAATACTGGTGCTAGGCCTACAGAGGGACACTCCATCAGATGGATGTCCAAGTGCTGGCTCTCATGTTCTCAGTTATGATAATAAATCTGAAGCAAATACAACTGACATATTAATTTCCATAACCTTCTATCATGAGAATGATGTAATATTTCTGCAGCTTTTCTTAATTTTTTAAACATTTTCTCTTTCTGAATCCACATGATAGCCAATACAGAAGCAAGCAAATTCAAGAGTTGATAAACAGGAAAGTAAAACTGCATTTGTGTTAATGGAAGCATCACTTGAGACATGAGTTCAAGAAGACAAATAACTATGCTGATCATAAAATCAAAAGGCAGCTAATTCACCCTTAAGAAAAGCCTAAGAGACACAGACATAAAAAACTCGCACTCTATTGAGCAAACAGACTATATTAAAGGTATGAAAAATGCTGACCTGATGGACCAAAAAAATCCCTTCTCTTCTGTGTTTAAAAGTATCTACCCTAGGAAGCACCAATAAGATGGCTTTGTAGATCTCATGTAGAGGTAAAATTTTAGTCAATATAAAATAAAGTTGGTTTTGAAATTACTTTATTCAGTTTATGTTTTCTTCCATACAACAAGGACAAATTGCCCTTGTACTTAACACAGGCAATGCACAGACAGTGCCTAACTTTACTATGGATGCTCAAAGACAGTTTCTAGTTAAGACACTTGATGGGTTTTATTTAGGACATCATACTTCAAGTATAGCCAAAAAAACCAACATTGCTTCTGGAATATCAAACCTATCAAAAAAGCTGTGGTCCTAAACCCCAAGATTTCAGTCATTTAGGTTCTTTCAATTTGTTCTTTCCAACCGTTGAGTCAGGAAGTCAGATGTGACCAACAGTATTAAATAGCTTTGCCATTCATTATGCAGAAGGAATGAATACCTGCCTTAACTGGCCAACAAGCTTAGATGTGACAGATTCTTTGCAGAATGAAAGAACTGCATGAAGAGCAATGCCTCAATTAAAATAGAAATCTCTCTAAAACCAACACCACCTCATTTATCCTACAGATCAACTTCCAACTTTCTGCATATAAAAGCCAAAATGTGTTTCAAAATAATCCCATCTCTTAATTTTCTAGGTTAGTTTGCAAGCTTCTGAATGTTGTTCTCCTTTGCTACTAATGCAGAGGTGCAAAATGTAGGTCTGACACTCTTCATGCCTCCCTTCACTGATGGATTCACCAGAGCCCTATCTGCACTGGACTAGAAGAGAGGCATGTATCTCTAGGACATCAGGACTCCACAATTCAGCCAGGAAGTGCAGGATGAGGTCAATAATACACCCTGTGAAAGAATTCCTGTTTGCCCTTAAAACTGGTACCATTTTTTTAAAATCAACTTTAAAACTTCTTATCCTGTCCTATTTCCAAGCATGTCTGACTCTTCTAGCCCTCTTCTCCTTCCTTCACACCTTGCCTGATGTTACCTCATGTCTCCTGCCCTGTGTCTTATTCTGTCTTCATATGGGATCAACAATAAACAGTATGAGAATATCTGTCAAAATATAAAGAGCTTTTGGTTTTATAACCTTGCTTTATAAACACTTAGAACAACAAGGAATTGACCAGACTTAGGGAAGTTAGTCATGACAAATACAAGTCACCTTAGAAAGAAAATACAACTTACTGACATACCTCTTAAAAAGCTACACAAATACAAAAACCCCCCACATTAATGCTTTTCTGACCTTGCCCAATGGATGTCACCTGAAGAATACAACAGAGAATGCAGTCACTTATTCCCTCCTTACAGAGCCATGGAAGAAAGTATTTGCTTACTCTGTTTAATAAATCAATTTCTTCTTTCAGCTTTCCAATTAGTTCCTCTTTGTCCTGTGCCATCTTCATTAATCTTGCATTTTCCTGTCTTTCTTTTGCAAGTTCCTATAACCAGAATAAAGAATGAAGTTGAAAATGTAAATTCTTGTTTTAAGAGACAGTTTTAAGTTAACACCATCTAAAACAAAGAAAGAAGAACAAACACACACACACATTTATCTATAATTCCTTTCCTACTGCAAGTCAAACCCACATCTTCAAGTTCTTTTACATTTCAAGGAGCTAAAGAATCACATCTAAGAATATTTTACAACAGCAAATCTGTTTGGTTTGATTCAAGTGATAATGTTTGAATTTATATTTAACTTAAGCTTGAACACAGAATTGGACAGGGGCCCAAAACAGAAGAAATAAATGTAAAGTATCAGCTCCCAAATTATTGTCGGTTGGATTTTCTGTTGTAGGTTTTTATAACACCATGAACAAGAAATGAAGACTCACTTTTAAATCTGTGGGCCTGAATGTGAGAAAGAATGAAAATGTTCATTAGGAAAGAAGGTGCTTAAATCTTCTTCTGTTTTCTTTTACTGGCAATTAAAGTATTTCAGAAAGAAGATGATTTAGAAGGGAGGATTATGGTATACTTTACTCAAATGAAGATTCCTCAAGTCTTAAATCAAAAATAGCAATTTCTACAAAATACATGTCATTTTCCCCCTTTCCAAAAAAAGACCTATTCAAATTGTGTTAACTTAGTAACTTTCACCCACACGATTCAAGAATATTTGTGAAGTTACCCACAAAAAATCCACTTCAGAGGAAGACAGAGAAGCCAGTAATAGATAACACAGAAAAGCTGAGCTTTTCACCTAAGCCAATATTTTGCTAAAATTATTTAGCAAAATACTGGCTTAGGCGAAAAGCTCTGCTTTAACATTATTACATTCTCCCAAAACTGTTTTTATTAAATCAGTATGAAACAATGCAAACCATTTTAAATATGTGTTTTGAATGTTTACAGCTCTAACAAACAACTAGATAGCAGTTAAATTTTACAATATTTTGGTATAGTAAAAAAACCAAACCAACAAGTAGATCAGAAACCAGCTTGTAACCTTGTGAACAGCCAGTGAGCTCCTTCTTCCCCCAAGGTATTTGCTCTGTGTTGGTGTCTCACGAGGTACACAGGAGAAGCACACAGAGCACTGCTGGCTCTCTAAGTGTATTATCTTTGCCTTAACTATTTCTCACTTAAATACCAAATGAAAACTAAACATCTGTGATTTGAAAGTTCACATTCTTCTCGGTCAGTCTGACTCCTTGTATGTTTTTGTAGACATAACTATCTGTACTTCAAGCATTTTGCATCATTTCTATGTAGTTTACCTGCAAATTTCCCCATGAAGTTTCAGAAGTACTTCATTTCAGATGTATGCCACAGCAAGGTTAGCTGGTGCTTACCCTTTCAAGTTCCTCAATCCTCTTCTCCAAAGAGTTACTTGGTAGAGAACTGCCAGAAGAATTTGCATCTCTGCTGTATCTGCCGTAAGCTGTCCTCTCTGGTCGGGAATATCTGTTTGGAGCATCATCTTCTGGTGCACTGGCTGTACTGTGAGGGGCAGAGAAAGCACACACCTATTTACACATCTCACAAAATGGAAATGAGAGCAGTCACAGAAGAGCTCTCCAAAGCAGTCAGTAGGTCAGTCTAATAAACTGCAGAGAACATATTCCACAGCTGAGAACTCACTAAATTCATCTGCCTCAGGGATTCAAATACTTGGATAATACAGCTTTCATCACATGGGTAATACACCATAAACACATACTTATCCTATTTTTCAAGTTTCATTAACTATGCACGTTAAAAAAAAAAGCTAAATGACTTTATTTCAAGAACTAAAGTGCCACTACAGAGTTTAAACCAAGAATCTTTTTAACTAGATGAAAACATAAGGGATGAAAAAACAGGTACACATCCAAAACATAAGAATACTGACTAACTTTTTGGGAACTATGGATTTAGCCTGTAAGGGAATGGAAAGTAAACTGAAGTGAGAAAGTGATGTGACCTAACAAACCAATTTTATGCCATCTCCAGATATTTTACTTCAGAACTTTGGTACAGAGGAGTTTGTCAGACCTCTGTTGGCTGACGCTCACTCCTTAAGTGGTCCCTTGGGACCAGGTGGTGTAGATTACATGTCTATTTATTAAAAATCAGTCATGGAATCAACAAATAAGCACTGCAAGTACACATAAGCTATGTTTTTTTAAAAAAAGCATGCAGGGTCTCCATTACTACTGGCATGTAAAAAACCAGTACTAATTTAAAAATATGTATGACAAGTCAAGCATTTTCAGTCACAAAACTAACAGCGTCCTTCCCATAGCCATTTTCTTCCTAAACAATAATGTTACTCACCTTCAATGAAGATTCTAATGAACAACTAAGAACAACAGAACAGAGTGCCCTGAGAGCAGACAAAGAGACTCCCTCACCAATTCACCAAAATTACACTTACACTTAAAATATACAAACTGCCAAGACAAAACCAAAAAAACTGAGATACTCAAAAGCCACCTGGAGATGGTCCTCAAAAATCAGCTCTGCTTGAGCAGGGGACTGGACAAGATTACCCTAGAGGTCCCTTCCATCATCAACCAGCCTGTGATTCTGCAAAATCACACAGCTGAAGTATGTATACACTGGTGCTCTAGACCACTTAGGAAAAGAATGAAAAGCACTATGAGCATCCCTACAACATTTCCTTTAAAACACAGAAGAGTATATGATTAATGTGTTCATTTAACAATTTTGCATTTCATAACTCTAGAAAACCCCTGCTGACAACATGCAGATTTAGATGGATACAGTGCAAATCAAAAGCAGGAGTATCTGGCAAAGGGATGTCTTTTCGAGGATATAAATATTCTTTTGCTCCAGTATGTGTGAAGTTTCCAAGACACACTGACACAATTGTAAGGAATTTTGTAGCTTAATGTTATTACCATATTTAGCACTGTTTATTCTTCATCCAGAAGATTTTTTATAAAACATTTCTAGGACCGGATATGCATGTTGCAACACAAGACAAATATTTAAACTTAACTCTATAAATTCTACATTATTGAGTTTTCTAAAAGTAGTTTCTCTATAAATTCTACATTATTGAGTTTTCTAAAACATGTAGTTTCGTGCTGTTAATGTCTCAAGGAGAGACCACACAAAAAAAAAAGTCTCAACTTTTTGTAATTTAAAAAATTAATATTTATGCCACTATACTGAAGTATTTAAACTCAGCTCCAGTGAGTGATATTGGCAGAAGCTCCTACACAAAGATTAGAAGAAAGAATACCTGGACAGGAAGGGTTTCATTAATAAAGAAAATGCTTTAATTTTCAGAGGTTTTTTTCCTGACATTCACACTTGAATTTCCTCACCTATTACACTGGGCAGCAGACCCTACTGAACACACTCCTTCTCACTGTAGGAAAGTACAAAGAACATATCATGGAGGCTTCTAGGTAATGGGATTTTTAAAAAAAACATTTAAGAGAGCATAAGTCCAAAACCTAACACAAGGAGTATAACAGATAAAAAGTTTATTATTTTGGGTGTTATAACCAATGGCTAGTACACAGCAATGGCAAAAAAGTACTACCCATGACACAACAAAAACATCTTTCACAAAGAATGTCTTCAGATGCAATGTCACTTCATGAGTGCTAAACGAGAAAGAATCACAGAATCAGAATATGCTGAGTTGGAAGGGACTCATCAGGATCATTCAAGTCCAGCTGTTGGCCCTGGACACCCCAAGAGTCACATGTGCCTGAGAGCATTGTTCACTTCTTGAACTCAAGATAGGCTTGGTGCTGTGACCACCGCCCTAAGAAACCTGTTCCAGTGCCCAACCACTCTCTGGCTGGAAAACTTCTTGATACCCAACCTAAACCTCTCCTGACTCAACTTTATGCCCCTCCCTTGAGTCCTGTCATGGACTGTAAGTGTCAAGATATCTGTACCTGACTCTGCTCTCTCCCTCCCAAGGAAGTTGTAACTGCAATGAGGCCTCCCCTCAGTCTCCCCTTCTCCAGGCTCAACACACCAAGTGACCTCAGCCATTCCTCAAAGGCCTCCTGCTCCAGTCCCTTCACCATCCTTGTTGCTCTCTTCTGGATGCTCTCTAGGAGCTTGAAGTCTGTTTTATATTGTGGCACCATCCTTGTTGCTCTCTTCTGGATGTTCTCTAGGAGCTTGAAGTCTGTTTTATATCGTGGCACCCAAACCTGCCCCCAGCACTCAAGGTGAGGCCATCCCAGTGCAGAGCAGAGTGGGACAATCCCTTTCCTTGCCTGGCTGGTAATGCTGTGCCTGATGCACCCAGGATCCTTTCCACAATGATGACTAGAAAAACAGTATCACTGAACTTGTAGCCTCTGCACTAAGAGGAAACATCTATGAACCACCCCCAACAAAGATAGTGTCTGTGGAAGAATACCTGTAGATTATGCTTATGTATAAAAATACACAAATATAAATTATTTTACAAGGTGCTTTTCTGGCTATACTTAAAACAAAAACAATATAGCAAAATCAGTTTGACTCCTCTTATAGAGAAACAGAAATTTTGGTTTGGTGTTCCTAGTTATTTTCTTTACAATAAAATCAGTTATTCACACAGGGACAGGTTTAAAAGCAAGGTGAAATATCTCTTGCTTCCTTCCAACTTGCTTCTTTGATTATCTCAATGTCTTTCTAAAACACTGTCCAAATTGCCATTATCCAGTGAAAATCACCCTGTCCAAGCTGTATTTCAACTATGACAGGTTTATTTTTGTGCCAGAATCTTATAACTGTACCTGATTTGGAAACTCCTAGGTATTTATGTCACTACAACTCGGTCAGTTGCTAACTGCTTTTCTGGAAGAAGCAAAGGACAATTATTTCTAAACAGGGCACCTTGGCTTTCTGTTACTTTAGACCACTTAAACCAAATTTGTGACTCTCAGAGCTGAGCTAAGGAAAGGCAGTCTTACCTTTTCTACAGCTGCATTCCCAAGACTCCTCCACTTTTCCTGCCTGTGGCCTTCAGGTGAATGGGAAGCTACTCAAAGCATGAAGCAGCAATCAAGCAAAAGGAAGCCATCAACTTGCAGCCACAGTGGCTCCCTGAGGCAGTAGCTTGCCCAGCTGCATGAGCACTGGCTCAGGGGGGAGAGAGGAACTCCAGCCAGAACTTAGACCATCAAAACATTTTGCAGAAATAAACCCTACTTGTTTATGCCTTCTCATAACATCAGCAGTGTCTCAAGAAGGGCTAGAAAAGTCAAGAAAAACTTCTTAAGTGACCCCTGTCTAAAATAAAATGCTCATATCTGCAAAGAGTGGTCCTAAGGTAACAAGCTAGATGAGACAATGCTTCCAAAGCCAGCCCTCACTGTGGAACTCCTAAACACAGACAAGCAGGCATGTCTGGGCACAGCATTATGAAACAGTATTTCATGGCTGTGGTTTTCTTTAATTAGTGAGATCAAGGTTAGTATGATGGAAAGTAAACTGTTATAGTTTAAGTTTTATAATTATCTAAAAACACTGAGCAAGGCAATTTCAGCAGTGCTCAAACTTCAGACCCCTCCAATGAATGCTCTGAAGCACTTTCTATTTTTATGGTCTCCACTTCCCCATGTATTTTTCAACTCTTACATGAACGATAAACTCAAGTATGATGGAGTCTTTTACAATTACTGCTAAATAGTCTCTACCTCTAGGGTTCCATGTTAATGTGCTGTACTATCCTAAAAGAGGGGGCAAAAATCCTCTCTGACATTTTGACTGGAAGCCATGAAACCATACCATACTGTATTCTTTTCCACTAGTAAACAAACTTATAAGGGGAATACACTTCTGAACCATGAAGAGATTTTAATCTAGCTCTTTTTGTAAACTAATCCAGTTGATCTGTCTGATTCAAGAACCATGCAAAAATCTTTAAATCCCAATCTGCAAGGTTTGCTTTACAATTCTTTTTTTTTTTAAAGAATCTAAATTGGTTCAAAAACTAGTAGATAGTCTAAGTAATCTGATAGAACAAACTTTCTGTGTTTATTAAAATACTCCTATGTCTGCATAAATACCTTGCATTACTGTTACTTGCAAACATGCCTTTTAGTTTACAAAAGAAACGTAATTCGTGTTTACATGTAGATTAGGCTCAAATACTTCAATAAAGAAAATGCACTTTGGCCTTCTTATGTTTGAGAAATCATTGGTAACATCAACTATGCTGATACTCTCAGACCTTAATCAGAAAACCATTCTTACTAATGGCAATATGTTTAGTACTTAAAATATCTATTCACAAAGCAGTGCAAAAAATGGCAGACCCAGTTTCATAACAGCACTTTGAAATGACCAAGACAAGCCATATTACATTAAAAAACCTGAGAGGAAAATGGAAGAATGGGAAGTTGATATGAGCTATTACAACTTAAGCATACCTAGACATTTAAAACACATGAAGCTCACAGTTAGGACACCTGACTGACCACAGCTCCCAAATACTCTCCTGCATGTCCTGTGGCCTTCATGTCAGCATGACCTTGCAGATTCTGGTCATGCTTTTAATAGATCTCACAGTACCACTCCAGCCCACAACAAAACCATCACTTTCTCTTGAAAATATTTTATGGACTTAATAATGAAACTACAAAGGAATCCCTCCACAAACTTCTGGGAGGTGTGAAAATTTCTGAAGCAAATTCAGAAGACAGACTACAATTACAGACTTATAGATCTTATAGACTAAGATCCTCATCACAAACTTTTATTTACTTTACTGCACAAAGAGACAGGCTCAGTTTGTCCAAGTCACTAAGCACACAGCAATACACAGAAGCCATCAGAGTTCATTTGTAAACATGTTTTCCAGTCAATGGACACTCAGTGAAATAGGTTTCCCAGCAATGTCATATAAATGTTTAGTCACAGACTGTTGTATCCATAGGGGAAAGTAGCCAGTGTAATTCACAGTGTAAAATCTGTACAACTCCTTAAGTCCTGGAACAGACCAAGAGAACAATGATTATGTAAGAACACACATAACTGATCTTCTCTCCTTTTTAATCTCTTTTCTCTTGTCAGATACAGGAGGATGGGTATCTCAGTGTAGAGGCAGAAAAACAGAATTGTTGAAGTTGTAGAAGAAACTCTAAGATCATAACATAAAATATGAAAGCAGTTAAATGGAAAAGGAAAGGTACTGGATGTCCAGAATGATATCAGTAATCCAGGACTAGAAGTCAGAAAGGACAGATAATGGAGACAAAACAGGAAGAAAAAAAAAACAACAAGAAAAAACACACACACACAAAACCAGACAAATAATAAAGAGAAGACCAGACCTCGATGATTAAATATAAGGATGTAAGAGAAATGGGGAAGAGAAAGGAAAGAGTGCCTAACTGTGCTAGGAAATGGAAACCAGTGAAGTGAAGAAAAATGCTGAAACGAACAAGATGCCATGTTTGATAAGGAATAACTGGGGAAGAGTGAGAAGACGAAAGAGAAAAAGCAGTAGTAGGAATGGAAGAAAGCAACCTGAATATTTCTGGCAAATAACTCAATCTTTCAATGGGAAAGAGAATCTATTACAGAATCCAACATTTCAGGAAAATACAGTTTCCTTTTTGCTATCATAAGTCTATAAAGTCTACCAACCATCTCTCCCACAAAGTACTGGCCACTGACTGTTGCAAGTTTCAAACAGGATCCCAAAGTGATTGTCCCTATGTGAAACATGCTTCACTCTCAGTTTGCTTTAAAAACCTAAGAGAGTACACCTAAGACTGTTAAAAGCAAATGAGGCTAAGTGTATCTGAGCCTTGAAGCAGCCTATTATCTCAATTCAGCCTTTTGGCATTAACATTCCAATTCTAGGTACAATCACAGAACAACATTTTCCATTTCATAGATTCATAGAATATTTTGAGTTGGAAGGGACACAAGGATCACAGAGTCCAACTCTTAAGTGAATGACCCATTCAGGGATTGAATCCACAGCCTTGGTGTTATTAGCAGCATGCTCTAACCATCTGACTTTCCAAGGGACTCCTACTGTATTTGGGACTCCAGTGAGATCTGAGTGATCTGAATAAGAATTACTTATAGAGGAGCCTGCTTTCTGTAAGACCTTCACCTACTGCAGATGTTGGAAGAAACAAACAAGCCCAGAACAATGCTGGTTCCAACTCCTTTAGCATTCAAATCAGAAAGCAAAACCACTGGGAGTCATACCTCAAGAACCCTCACAGGAAAAATTAGTTCAGGGAGGCAGAAACTTTCAAATACAGCAGAAAATTATTAGATACTATTAACTCCAACCACAGTGGCCATTGTATAACTCAAGGAGAATAAAACCCTCTGAGTATTTGTGAGCACTGGGCACTGTGTTGACAGTGGCAAATAATCCTTCACTTTTCAACTTGAAGTTCAAGACTATGCAATAAAGAAGATAGATGGCAACATTCATAAAATATTGAACAGCAGCTCGCAGCAAGTCAGATTCCTCCTGCATGTGATGCCAGCCCTGACAGAGGAAGTTGACAAAGACTCACATATAACTAAAGCTAACTGAGGGAAAACTACATAACCAAGTCTTATTTAGCATTTTCTAGCTTGGCATTTCCTACTTTTGCAATGCTAATCAGTAGAATTAGATTATTTTCAAATAAGTTACCAACGCGGTTGTGCAAACTTCTATTTATTACCACCCCACGCACAAGCAAGTTTTTGCAAGCAAGTATATACAGCAGGCAAGCAGAGATAAGGTTTATGAAAAGCCACAAAAGTATGACACACACCACTAAGTATTTGCAGATACAAACAGCAGTAAAATTCTGCACCAGGACTGAAGAGGAAGTGAAGACTGAACTAAAATGTGCCTGATTAATAAGAAATGAATCATGAAATTACATAGTTACTAAACTTGTGACAATAAGCCCACCCATTCTGCAATGACAAAGTGATTTTTAAAAAACGCTATAAAAAGAATCACTCAACTGGGTTTATGAGAACCTGGGAATATAAATATAAAAGACACTGTGTTAGGAAAGCTAAAGCATAACAGGATAGGTTATTCTTTTTTACAGTGTGGGAGGTGAGATTCTGGAACAGGTTGTCCAGAGAAGCTATGGGTGTTCCCTCCCTCCAAGTGTTCAAGGCCAAGTTGGATGTGGCTCTAAACAATCTAGTTCACTGGAAAGTGTCCCTGCCTATGGCAGGGGGACTGGACTAATATTCTTCAAGGTCTCTTCCAACCCAAACCATTCTATGATTCCACAGGTGAACAATTTTGAGGGGTAGAAAATACAGCTGTGAAAGCTAGATAATTTAGATGGTCTTTGCACTTTCTTCTACAGCCATACATACGACTGATGAGTTAAACACCTACATATTTTACCCAAGTAAAGGATACCTGAAAGGGAATGCATTCATGTACCAAATAAAAACATTCTTACAAAAGTGTCTTGCTTCAGTTGATGTAATTGAGACCCCATGTTAGCTGTGATAGTTGTGTCAGTACTAATTCCACATGGACAAAAATTTCACAGTTGTCAAGTACATCAAGAACTTCTGAAGAATTTATCTGATTAAAAAGCTGGAGTAATGACCAGGGTGATACTTGACTCAAAGACAAACAAATAACAAACAGAACATGCTATATATGAGAAACATCTCTACAACTGAAGACAGTAGTATTACAAAACCATCTTTCACTATTACTGTGGAGAGCAACAAAATGATCTTCCTTTATTCAACTTCGGAATACAATGGTTCATAAATTAAATTGTGAAAATACTAGCTCCTAGGCAATGTGTAGTCGAGTTTGACATCTGATTGGGAAACTGCTCTGCCCTAGTAAGATCTAGTAAAACACTAGTGGAATTTATTTTAAAACTGTAACATAATAGAGGGCTTTGGATAAGCTTGCTGCATTTTCAGGTCCTTTGCCTGGTATCAGGCTATATATCTACAGTAGCAGTATGATGGCTTCTACTACAAATAGCCATTTAATCAGCATTATTTCTGGCAGAAATGCAAACAAAATGTTATGTACAAAGATCTCATACCTTTTATACCTGCTTGAAACCATTCTGGAGGAATCCTAAAGGAAACAAAAAGGAAAAATGAATTAGTATTTTTCTTGTAGCTATATGGCCAAAATATCCTATCAGTCCACAGAAAACAAAGTCTGCAGTGAGAGCAGTCCCATGCCACTGTACAAGTCAGTTTTGCATGATTTTGTTGTCAGGTACAGACAATACGAGGACTACTGTCACCATGTTATTGCTTCTGAACATTACCCCAGAAGCCTTAAGTGTCTGCCTCTGATTACATCATAAAACTGGATATAAAACACTTATTCCATAAAACACTCATTCCATCCCCCTGCATGCACAACATGAAACAGCTCACACCCTGCCACCAGTGCATCTCCACCACTAACTAGTAAGGAAACACGTGTGCACTTTGATAGTTGTTCATCAACTTGGCCAAGAGCAGCAGAGCAAAACTGTTTCAATTCCTCAGCAGCAGTGCTGTCCTTCTGGATGGGAACAAAAACTGAAGCTGTCAAGTACAAAAATTAAGACATGTTTCAACTGGTAAACAAGGGCTCAGATTTGACAGAGTAAGTCCATAAATATTTTTTAGGATGTTGTAAGAACATGAACCAATTATTTTCTTAGTCATAGGCAAAACTCCCCCGGCAAATAACAAGTAAAAAGTCAGGAAAGAATATTCAAGGAGTTAAAGGACAATTGCCTTTACAAGAAAAAAAAAAAGGCAAAGTATGAAATGCTGCCTACTTACAACACTTAACTGTGGGCAAAAAAGTAAACTTAAAACAAGATGCAAGAGAAATTCCATCCACTCTGAAAATTCTACAGAACATTACACTGCCTTCACTAATCAGCACACTAGTGATTTTGTAAGTAAATAAACAAGCTGAAAATTAGGACACAAAGAGTATTATTTTAGTATTGAAAATAGTATTTTAAAAATATTTGTATTATAGAAAAAACTTGATCTGAAAGTACATTTTATGAAGCATTTTCCATTTCTGCCATATGTGCTACATATTATTCCTAAGATAAGCATAACAAAATTCAACAAATTCATGGGAACTAGTTAAAGAAACCCACAAATTTGGCAAAATTGCCGGTTTAACACTGGTAACTATTTTTATCATTGATGACAGCATCTGAAAATTAGTGATTCACAGCTGTGAAACAGAAACCTAATTTTACCTCTAAAAGGGCAGAGAAACAATTTCAAATGTTACCAATGCTATTTTTAAAGTTTACTTAAGGGTAGGTTATCTTTGAAAGGTCATGGAAGCAGGGGGAGGTTTCTGAGGACTAAAATGAAGTAAATATCATTCCTTTCTTCAAGAAGGATCATCCAGGGAACTACAGGACAGTCCTTAGCTCATTTCCTGAGCAGAAAATGGAACAAATCCTCAAGGACAGGAAGGTGAAATCAGCATGGCTATATGAAGGGGAGACCATGCCTGACCTGACAGCCTTCTATGATGAGAGGACTTGGTGAATGAAGGCAAAGCAGATGATGCTTATCTAGATGATAGCAAAGCTTTCAACACCTTCCCACACAACATATGTATATGGAAATAGAGGCCAGATAAGCAGACCATGAGATGCAGTGACTACCGGGTCCAAAGGGTTACGAGCAGCAGCCTAAAGTCCAGCTGGATGCCAGCCACTTTGCAGGGATTGATACAGGGGCCAGTACTGTTTAATGACTTCATTAGTGACCTGAATTATGAGACAAAGTACAGCCTCAGCAAGCTGGCACACTACAAACAGCTTGGATGAGAGGTTAACAATACATCAGATGGCTGTGTTGCCATCTAGAGGGACAGAGACAGGCTGGAAAATGGCCTTACAGAGACCCCATGGAAGTCCAAAAAAAAAAGGAGAACACAAAGTCCTGCACCGGAGTCTGGAGATGAATAATCCCAAGCAGGAGTACTTGCTGTGGAAAGCTGCTGTACAGAAAAGAATGCTGGTGTCCTGGTGACATCAAGTCAAACATAAGCCATCTCTGTGCCCTTGCAGCAAAGGCCCATGGCATCCTCAGGATGCACTGCCAGCAGGTTGAAGGACAGCATCCTGAGGAGAGCTTCAAGACAGTGAAGGGACTAGAGGAGAACTTGAGGTCACTTGGCTTGTTCAGCCTGGACAAGACTGAGGGGAAGTTGCAGCTACAACTTCCTCAGCCGCAGTTACAACTTCCTCATGAAGGGATGAGGACAGCCAGGCACTGATCTCTCCTCTGTCGTGACCAGTGACAGGACCTGAGGGAATCTTGAGGGAATGCCTGAAGTTGTGTCAGCAGAGACTTAGTTTGGATATTAGGAAAACCTTCACATCTCAGGGTGGTTGGGCACTTGAACAGGCTCTGCAGGAAAGTGATTACAGCACCAAATCTGATAGACCTCAAGAAACATTTGGACAATACTCTCAGGCACAAAGTGTGACTTTTGGAGTGTCCCGTTCAGGGACAGAAGTTGGACTTGTGGGTCCCCTCCAACTAAGCATATTCTCTAATTCTCCTCTGCTCAGCCCTGGTGAGACCACAGCTGGCATGCTGGGTCCAGTTCTGGACTTCTCAGTATGAGAACAATATATTGGAGAGCTCCAGCAAAGCTGAACATATAATAAAAGGTCTGGAGCATCTTACAAATAAGAAGCTGAAAGTGCTGGAAATGTTCAGCCAGGAGAATAGGATGCTCAAGAGATTTCTTGCCAATGTGTACAAATTCCTGATGGGGTAAAGATGATGGAGACATATTTCTATCCATTGTGATAATAAAAACCCAACTGGCTCCAGTCCTGAGCAATTTGCTACACATATCCTGCTCTGTCTGCAAGACTTGGACTGGAGACTTCCCAAGATCCCTTCAAGCCCTAAAGATTTTTAGCCTTAAGACAGTCAGCAGTGACTGATGAAGTGACTTGACTCTGAGTTATCCGAAGAGATTCCAATTGTTTCATCTAATACATTAAGATCCATGTTCCCTGTATCTGAGAACTGAACCAGCACATCAGTAACATCAGAAACAGTTCCTGGTGGTGATGGTCTCAGAAACATCCCAGCTGCCCCATCAGCCATGGGCAATTGCTTCAATTGCCTTTTGAGGCTTGGATGGAGACTTACACTGGGTCTAAATTCTGCCTAACTGCCTGCAGATCCAGTAAAGGAACTCTGGGCTCTAATCTTCCTCGGTTCTTATTTTTTTAACAGCTTCTTTTCTTCAGGAAAATGCTTCTGGTGAACATAAGCCTCGTTTTGCAGTGAAAGGCAGAATTCATGAGAAAGTGAGAAATTGCACCTGAGATTGCAGTCTGGTGAAGCACACATACCTTTGTACAAAGAAATCTTAAGGTAAGAGATGCTTGTTTTGTACTTTAGACACTAAAAGGATACAATGAATGCACTGTATATCCCCATATTTGCTAAAACATTTTCAGATACTAAATGCAAATATAAGCTGTAAAGCAATTACATAGACTTGTACATTTAATTCAACTGGAGCCTTTTAAAATTTTGGCACTACTATTCAGAAAAGCCAGCTCTTCAGAAAAAGCTGGGAGAGCAAACAAATGCTCAGAGACAAAGTGCACAGTAAATATTCTCATTTGCTACAAATGACAGCTGTTAAAACAAACAAACAGAAAAACCTTGACTCAATTAACAAGTCCTTTGTAACAGATGTTTCTACAGTAAGTAGCAGTGGTTTTTATTTCTGTAGTTGAAACTAACTATGAACAAAAAGTTAAAAATGCACATTTGATGCACAAGAAAAAATTCCTCTGAACACCAAATTAATATTGCAGATCTGGTAAATTATTCTTTTTATTACTTTGAAATCTCTAATGTAAATGCAAACCAATCATTATTTAAAGAGATTGTGAAAACACTAGGAAAATGTATTATTTACCTCTGTTCTCATCTTATGAAATTTATTTTGTGTGCATCCAAAAGTCTCTGGCAACATGAATATAAGTAGTCACGCTGTAAATAGCCTTATGTACATATAAATCAAAAAAAAATCTAAGATTTCAAACTACTCAGAGATCTTAAAATGAGGCCAGCACCTATAATTTAAGATCTTGTCTCCTCCACTTTTGGAGAACTGAAGGTTGGCAGAAAATCAAGGAAGGGAAGGAGAAAAGGAGGGACATGCCTGTTCTGACAAAGAGTTAACCTAAAAGCAGATGACTATTCTTGTACATAAATACTTATTTACAAATCTGGCTTATATTCCTTAATATTTTTGAACTTTGATTTTTAACCCACATTTAAAATATCTAATCTTCACTATAGAAATGAATGATTTGTCATGAGCAATGAAGAGATCTGCTCATTTGAATGTCTCCCTCTAAAAGAGGAATTATTTTTATAGTCTGTGGAAATCCTGAATGGAAAAACAGTAAGTAAAGAATTAATCTGTAACAATGCTAATGGTTTCTTTCATACTGGTGAAAAAATACTCCTGCCAAAGACATTTACCTACATCAGTTCTTTGTCCAAGGCTGAAATCAAACACTCACTTCAATGCAGTATTCCAAACACAGGCTTAAAATTACTTTTACTTTTTGCACATGATCTCAGGCAGCTTGCATTTACCTTTTAACAGTATATACTTCACTAATAAACCAAATTATTAGTGAACCCTCTGCAAACTACTGCAGAGTGACATACATCAGCATAGCTCCAGAAAACTGGTCATGTTCCCTTTTTGTTTTGTCTACAGAAGTGATTGTGTGGATAGTATTAATGCAGGACAGGGTGTGATCTATGAAAAATACCAAGGAAAAAGAAAACATTTCTCTCATTCCACATGAGCTCCTTCATCTGATTCACTGCACAGACTAACTCATGGACATGCACCTGCTGCACAAGAGAATATGCAAGGACAGAAAAGGCAGCTGAGACCATTTCAGTTCATGAAACCATTTACTGCCAATTAAATCTCTGTCAAACTAGGATGAAGGAACTTGGCTAACTCTCCTCTTTGCTCCTGGCTCATCTTGGTATTTCATCTGGCCAACAGAGAGATTGCATAAACAAGCTGGTCAT